CCATGCTTAGGGCAGGCACTGGATTGTGGTTCAGGTCTTGTGGCTCTTACCCAGATCAGAGCCTTTAACCTTTATTTCTTGCACCCAGTTCAGCTCTATACCACAAGATCACTGCATGTGTTTTTTTGTCTTTTGTCTGAGAATTTTACTGGCTCCGTGTCTGTGTTTCCTGAAACCCATCCTGCATTAGGTGTAAATTTTTGCTTTGAGAGTTCTGTTTTAAGCCTTTACTCTCTGCTGCTTTAATCAACAGAAGCAGAACGTGGTTCTGGGACTGAAGTTCTCTGTACTTCACCACGGGTTTTTAGCTCCACATCTTCACTGGGAGCAATGCCAAGCCTGAACATCCAGGAAGAACTTGCAAGAGAGGGAGCTGAGCAGTCTGCAGCAATATCAAGCAGGCAGCAAGACCCAGCAGAGCAATAAACAGATTAAAAGAAAGAATCTTGCATGACTGAGCCCTTGTACTGAGCACTCAGTGTGGGATGCTGTGATCTAATAGTGTCTAGACAGCAATATCCTACATGACTTTCTTGCCTGTCTAACATGAATGCAGCCAGAAATTTCTCAAAAGAAAATACATGAAGAGAATTTCAGGTTTCAGGTTTCCAGCCTCACTAGTCAAATAATTCCAGGTGACTTTTGCACAGAATCCCCACTATATTTTTACAATTTATCTGTGTGCATGGATCCCCTTTTTGCTTGTTCCAGGGCTAAAGTCTCAGAAACAAAATCTTTGTAAGAGATTGTGCAAGGTTGTGTATTTGTAATATGGTGCATTTATGTGTCAGTGAATGATGATTTAATGTACAATCAATGAGAGTGTTCTTGCTCATCATTATTTAGCATAATTAAACAAAGATGCTGAGTGATTATGAAGTATGTATAATGCACAGAAATACATTTTAAAAACAAACATGTTTGGAATAACATCTCTTTTTGTTCTGAGCAGTCAAATGAAGACATGTCTAATACAGCTCTGCTTCATGGTTTTGGTATAACAAACTCTTGAGCTGCAAGAATCAAAGTTTGGGGTAATTGTGATAAGCAGATATCTCCTGTTAAGATGTCCAGGGAGTTGTGTTCACTAGGAATATTTTTCTTCAGTTTCACAACAGAAATAAAGATGCTGTGAAGCTTCTGGCTTTTTAAAGCAGAGGTGGTGCAACCTTCAAAGTTTCTTTTTGTGAACCTAGGAAAGCAACACTGCATCAGTTTGTCTGTGTCTTTAACTCCCTGATTTTGCCAGGCACATTTTCTGCTCTTGGCTCTCTGGGATCCCATCCCAGCTTGTTCAGAGTTTAGACTGTGATCAAATAGGAGCAGTGTGACACAACAGAAAGTTTTCTTGTATTTTAGAATACATGTGTCTTTTCTTGCTGCAAACAAGGAAGCTGACAGATGACAAATTCTGGATGGCATTTGAACTAAACTTCCAGTAGACTGGCAGCGTCTTTATGTTTATTTTTGGTGGAATGACCTTTCCATGTGTAAAGGCTCTAGATGCTTTCTGATTAAGTTATACTTCCACATGAGAAACTTTCAGCTCAGAGGAATTAGGTGAAATTTTAAGAAAAAGGGTGTTCCCCTGATACATAAAGCTGTAATGAAATGTGCTTTTTCTTGGTGTTATTTTTTTTTGGTTGTTTTCAGTTATTACAACCAAATTTTTGGAAGAGTTGATGGGCTTGATGAACTATGAAAAAAAGAGAAATTACTCTTCTGATTTTGACCTACAGGTAAGATTTCTTCCTCTTAGTAAAAGGTAACTGATATCAAAATAAAAGAGTAATTTTTTGCAGGAAACTGATCCTTATTTAAGTTTTCTCATTTTTAGAAGTTTTAGTTATTTGACAATTCCTTTTCTGCTTACTTATGAATTATTTTTAATTAGTTTGCTTTGCTCAGCTCCCATCCTGACCTAGGTCTAGTTTCCTACGCGTTTTCTGTGAGGGAAGAGCTTTGGCTGTGTCTGTATTGCAAAATTTAAATAGCTCAGACTATTAGCCCTGTCTCCTTGTAGATGTCAACCTCCCAGCTAAGTCAGGTAAAACCAAAGACTTTCCATTTAGATAAAGCATTAGGTTTTGGGGGGGAGAATAAATACATAAAATAAATAAAAGAAATCAAATTCAGGAGTGGAAAGCATGTTTTCAGGACATGGTTTAAGTTCAGGCTCCTTTCCTGGTTGTATTCCATAATTCTGTGCTACTTCCCAGTTAGCTCACAGGAATCTGACCAGTCTGACCAAGGGCTGGGTAGCAGTTGTGAGGAGATCTCCAAATTTTGCCCCAGGTACTTCTGTTACACATCTGAAATTGTCCATATTTGAAGAGTTATTTTAAGTCTCACCACACCTCCTCTTCTTCAGAAGGATAATTTGATCTGTAGAGAAAGAAAAAAATCAAAGTAATTAGATTTAAAAAAGACTGGATATCAAGACTAACTCTCTTGCCATTGAAGAAAAGCTGATGAAGAGCAAGAAAATGTATTTAAGTGTAGTTTCCTTGTGCCTGCTTCCCTGAGGGCTCTGACCTCACTGTCCCACATCCTGCAGTGCCTCTGCTGGGTGAGAACAACTTCTCAAAGATGCTCCCCCAAATTCGTCTCCTCCTGCTCCATCCCCTCCTCCTCCCTTCTGGGGAAGCAGCAGTGCCAGAGCAGCACTGGTTTCTGCCTCCCAGGGCATCCCTATTCCTAATTCCAAGTTGTGCTACCTCCCAGGAGGACCTACAGTACCCTGAGGTCAAGATTAAGAACTCAAACCTTTCCTGTGTCTTGATTTTCTTCATAAATCTGTAAAATGTGGGTTCTGTAGGGGGAAAAAAAAAATCAGAAGTGCTTTGATTTTAGAGCTGAGGTGAAGACCAGTCAACAAACCATCTCTGCAAGATCTCACTGCCACAGCAGAGCTGCCAGACTTGGAATTGAGAATAAGGTATGCAGGCTAACAATTCCCAGTAGATTGGCTGCTCTGACAGAGATAAATCAAGAGGTAAGTGCAAAACAATTCCTTTGCTGGAGTCAATACTCAGTGAAAACTGTGATGTTGTCGTAGCATGTGGGCAACTCTCTGGGCTCAGCCATCCAGCCAGATTTTTATCACCAAACAGAGCCCCTGTCCAAGCCATGGACAGCCAGTTTCTCCAGGAGGATGTGGTGGAAAATGGTGTTAAACTCTTTTCTAAAGTCCAGACAGACACATCCACAGCCTTTCCTCATCTACCACGTGGGTCTCCCTCTCACAGAAGGAGAAGCAGGTTTTGCCTTTCCTAATCTCATGTTGGCTGGCTCTGATCCCCCCATTAACAAATCTCAAAAGAGGTACTTGTTAATGGGAAAACACAGCTGCACAGTGGAGGTTTTATTTTTTTCCAGAGATTTTTTCCTGAGATCAGTGCTATCCAACACTCTGAATGCTGCAAATCCCAAACCCAGTAGAAAAACTTCACCCTCAGTGAAGTTTTAAACTTCACACTCAGTACATGCTTGAAGACTCAGTCAGTGTATAATTGCTTTATCTTTATAAAGCAATTTATATATTTATACCCATTTTTTGCAGGGACCTTGAATATATCTGAAACTGAAAAAAAACTTTAGTTTATTATTTTTTTTATTGCTGCATTAGACAAAAACACATTGCCAGGGACCTGGCAGTCAGGCAGTGCTGTACACCCTGATGATGGTCAGAGCTGCGTGCCACGGCTCCATTCTGTCCACACCACTCCTGCTGCATCATCTCCTGGAGCTGCAGGCACTGGAAAATGTCAGCAAGGACTACAAGAATTCCTGGCATTTACTGCCTGTAGACCAACAAAAAAAGTCTTTGATGCCTGCTGGACACTGGACACAGAGATTCCTTACCTGCAGATCTCTGGCTATTCAAAAATCCATGCTTAGAGTACTGCACTAATTCCTTACATATTCAAACTGCTTTGGTTTTAATACATTTTTAAGAGTTATTGAATCCACCTCTCTGTGCACCCATGTGCTACAAAAACTTCTACCAGAAACATGTGCCTGGCAACAGTCTCGCATGTTTAAATTAAAGAGAGGAGAACACTACTGTGACAGCAGCAGGCACGAAAATATTGAGTTTGATAACTATGTAAGCAGTTTTCTCTGTGATATTACTATTTAGGAAGAGGATATTTAAGAGTACTTGAATATTCAATACGTGTACAAAGGGATTTTTTTGCGGAGTGAGAGAGCTGTGATTATTCTGCAGGAGCTGCATGTGAGGATGCTCTTCCTCTGCCTGTGCAGAGCCATCCTGACCCATTTCCCACTGGCAATTCCCAACTTGCCTCTCTCGGTGGGCCCCCTAAACACCACACACCCCTTAATCTTCCCAGTGAACTGCTCGGTGCTTGTGTACACACACAGGTATGTGGCACGTGAAATGGGAATTACTGGGAATCACGGGATCACAGCGCTTTGGGCTGGAAGGGACCTTACAAAACCAGCTGGTCCCAGCGCCCTGCCACACGCAGGGCAGCCTGCTCCGAGCCCCCGGCAGCCGGGCCATCCTTTTCCAGCGGCTGTCGCTGCCCGCGGTGGCGCGTCCCGCTGAGGGCCAGCCGCGCGGGATGGCCGCGATGAGCCTCGGGGCACAGCGGGGCGCGCCGCTTGTCCTCCGCACACGGTGACACCGCGCTCCAGCGCAGTCTTGGCACCCCAGTCCCGCTCGGTGGGCCCGAGGCTGGAGCTGGGATTAGGGCCGGGAGCGGGACCGGGAGCGGGATCGGGGCGAAGCGAATCTTCCCGGGCTGCCGGCGGCCAATCGCGGCGTCCCCGGCGCGCCCCCGCGGCGCCGCTGGCGCCAGACATGCCGGGAGTTGTAGTTCTCTCCCGGCGTCCCGCTGTTCTATGCGCGGCCAGATAAACTACAACTCCCAGTAGCCTGCGGGGTCCCGCCGCGCCTCTCCCGCCCGTGCCTACGATCCCCATCGCGCCCCGCGGGGCCTGGAAGGAGAAGCGGCTCCGGGAGCGCGCGGGGCGGCGCCTGCGCAGAGCGCGGCTTCCTGAGCGTCTGGTGGCGGCCGCCATTTTGTGGTGCCGCTTCCCTCTCCCGCTCGGGATCTGCGGCCGCGGGACCTGGCGCGGGGGCGACGCGGAGCGGGGGGAGCCGGGGCCGCCCGCACCCTCCTCACCTTCCCTTCGCCTCCGTGCGCCGCCGAGCCCCTCCGGCGCTGCCCCCGGGCGCGGCTGCGGAGAGCGGCGCTCGCCCACCATCATGGAAGACGACGGGCAGCCCAGGACCCTGTGAGTGGGGAGGGGGCGGCGGGGTGGGCAGCGGGCCCGGGGCGGAGCGGGGCGGGGGCAGGGATGCGCTCCCAGGGAGCGGGGCCGGGGCCTCCAGGGGTGCCGGGGGAGCGGAGGGGGCCGAGCGGGACAGAGCGTGTGCGGCAGGGCCGGGAGCGGGGTCCGGGCAGGGGGAGCGGCGGGGGAGCGCGGCCCGCACGGAGACGGCGCCGCACCGATCCGAGAAAAACACGGGCGAGCTCAGCTGGACCCGGCGCGTAACGGGGTCCATCCCCGGAGCCTCCGGGGCCCGTCCCCGGGGGTTTGGAGGTGCAGGCGGGGGTCCCAAGCCTTCCCCGGGGGGCACAGGCCGCCCCCGGGCCCCCCCTGCACGGCGGTCCCGGCGCTGGGAAAGTTCTTTGTGCTCTGCCGGCGGTGGGAGGGATGGGGAGCGCCGGGAAAGCGGGAGGGATCGCTTTTCCCTCCAGCGTGTCACGCTGTGGCTCAATAACAGGGTATCGGGCCCAGCAGAAAGAAATAACTGTGTGCTGGCCGTGTCTCTCCGCGCTGTTCAGTCACTTGGTGGCTGTCATTCGTTTTCTGCTTGAAAATTCAAATTTGAGCGTTTTGGGGTTGCTGTTGAGTACTTCTCAGCTTTGCAGATGTGGTTTTGATGAATTTTCTTTGTCTTGTTGGCTTAAGGGAGGGAGGCTCGCACTTGTGGTTGGCCACTTGAGAGCAGGGATTTTGTGCTGCTGCTGATTTTCAGCAGTTCCCAGATTTGCAGAGCAGCTGCCAGAGGCTGTTTCGGGCTCTGTGAGCGGTGCAGCGTTCGGGCTGTCCCTGGAAGAAAGGCAGGCTCATGTTCGGGCTGCCCAGATGACAAACACAGCTCAGGACACGGCAAAAGAAATCTTTGTCTATTTAGCTTTCAGGACAGTAGCCTTCAGAAAAACTCTCCGAGATAGTCTGGACTGAAAGGCACTCTAAAGAAACTACTGAAACCGAGTAAAATGTCTCACAATACTGTTCTCACTACCAAAATGATGACTTGGCATTTAAGGCTTCGCAAGGCAATTTGTTTTTTCTCCTTTCTAGGTCTGCAAAAGTTCTTTAAACTCGTTTATAGTGTGGTATAAGTACTTAGTCCTTGCTCCCTGAGGTGCACAGTTTAAGTAAGCAGATCTGAAATGCTTTTTGTGTTGATTACCCAAATGATCTGAGTTTGCCTGGCCCTCAGAGCGGACCTAGGTTGGAGTGTGGTTTTAGAGCAGGAGGAGGGAAAAGAGCAGAGCCACACAGTGTTTTATTTAGTTTTATTTTCAAGGCTCCTTTCTTCATTATTGGCTCATTTTCTTTCTTTTCAAGAATTGCTATATTCCCACTAAGTTTTAAGATGTTCTTTTAGTGCTAACAAGTTTGGGTACCACATTGGCCATGGGTACACATCCATCAAGGACCTGACTTAACCCACTTAGTTACTAACAAGAAGAAAATAAATTTGTACTAAGATGTCTGAACTAGCATCTCTGCAGCTGCCCCAAATAGTTTATTGCACACGTGTGACTGTTTCATTTGTTAAACTAATAAACAGCATGCACATGAATTTCTTAGTAGTTCTGTAGTAACCACAATCACAAAGGGTTACTTTCCTGTAATTATCTGGAGGCGTTTTGCTTGGAAGACAAAAATTTTGCTGTAGCATTTTTTAAATTTTACCTTCTTGTCCCTGCTTTTTATCTGAAATATCTTTAAATTTAGAATAGCAAGGCATGTTTTAAGGATTATTATCCTGAGCACTGGTTTTCATATAGAAAAGTTGTGATCTCATAAATAAAACTTAGTGTCCCCCAAGAAAAACAAATAAAAATATTGTTAGTTGAACTTCTAAGTTTTCATTCTTTGGTTTATTTGGGGAGGGGGAGGGGGGAGAAAATGAAGAACAAATTGTTTCAGTAGCTATTTCACCATGTGCAAAAGCACTTGATTGATAGTGTAAGCAGAACTCTATGAGTGTCTTAGTTTTTCACTCCTGGTGGAATAAATGAAATCCAAAATCTGTAAATTAGGAAGGAATTTTCTTTTTTAACAGTTGCAAGCCATTTTTTTTACTCATAAAAAACAAAACCTACCTTACCTTTGTTCACTCAACATTTCTGCCAGTGTTAACCAGCTCAGGAATGAGGATTGTTTCAATTCACAGTACTTACAAGGCTGTTATGTTGTTTCCCATCATGATAGGTCAGTCATAAACCTCTAAGAATTCAGAATATTTTCTGAGGCTTAATATAGAATGCTGACACTGTTTGCATTTTTATTTCTTAACTTTATAGAAACATGAAGAATAACCTTAGATACTTTCTGCCAAAAAACTTTCCAGGCGTGGGGGCCTTTCTGCATGATTTGCCACATGTAATTTTTTAGCTGGTCCTAAAATGATCTGTGAGCTTCTGATTTTTTTGGGTTGTTTTTTGTTTAAATAGAACACTTGAAAGCTCTGTTCTGTGTGAGTAGTTAGATTTCACAGGCTGTATCAAAGTCCTGCTTCTACTTTAAAGTGAAAACTAAACTATCAGAAACCTGATGTGTTGCTAATGTTACCGGTTCTCGCAGGCAACCAGTAAAGTTGCAAAGTTGTATATTCTTGTTAAAGTTTTTAGAAATGTTTTTTGTGGTTTGTTCAGGGACTGCTCTGAAGTCACTGCATGCCTACAGCTGCTATCTCATCAGCCTTGCCATGCTGTATTCCAAGTCTGGAATGTGGATAAGGTGCAGGAGTAAAGCTTCACCCGGATTCGTTTCTCTTGAACTTCCTCTCAGTTCAGCTCTCTACAGGAATGCTGTCTCCTGGAGGAGGCTGCATAGTGGATTATTCTTGGTATCATTTTATTTCCAGTAGCTCACAAGCACTAGGCAGAGGTTTCTAGAATTTCTGTGGGCTCTTGAGCACATCAGTTACCTTATTGCTTATCATTATTTCCTCTTTTAAATGTGGAAAGTGCCATTTCTTGTGTGTTGCCCGTGTGAGAGAGAAATCAAACTTACTATTTTTCCTCAAAAAAAGAGTGTAAAGGAGTTTTGTGTACCTAAAAGTAGTGGTTGTAAATGTCCCTTTCTTGCCTCCCTGTTTAGGATGCAATGCAAACCTATTTACCTTCCAAAAGAGAGTTTTGCTGCTCAAGCCAAAGAGTTGAGTTCCAAAACTCATTATGGATTGATACATGTCCCTTGTGTTCCTTAGATAGTTCTACAACATCTCTGAATTTCAAGTGGTTTGTTATTCTTTGTGTTGTCAGCAGCACTCAGAAGTGTAATAGATAAATAGATGTGTCAGGACATCTGTCTGTCTATAGGTTGTTGGGGTTTTTTGGGAGCTGCTTATTAATTGGTGTTTGAGTGCTTCAGGCTTGCAGAAGGGAGCAAACACGGTTGCCTGTGTGCAAAAAGCCACAACTTTTGCTGCCCTGTCACATCATCCAAGACACCTATAAGAGTTTAGTAAGTGCTTCTGCCTTGCTGGGTTTCATAATTTTAAAAAAGTTTGCACAATACATCCTCTAGAATATATCAGTCCAAAAAGGTTGAAATACAGTACAATAGCATGTTAGGAATCTTCTGGTTTCTTGAGGTGTGGTGGATAATTTTGTGGATAATTTTGATTTAGTGAAGTAGAAGTGCTGTTGTATTACATCGCGTGTAAATGGAGCTGGAAAGGGGAAAGCTGACCACAGGCTGGCCATGTGTAGTGGGTGATTAGCATCAGCTGAGCCAAGTTTTGTGTTTCCAGAAAGGTGAGGTGTCTGCTCCTAATGTGGTGAATATATTGATTTCTTTAGTTCTGTAGCATTCAGACATTCACACTAAAGGTGTTTGCTTGTATGTTTTTATTAAGTTGTCTCTAACTGTACTGAAGGAGGTGATGTTACTCCAGTCTGCTTAAAGACATGAAAGTAACCATCAAGTCTTACTTTTTGGCATATTGTTTCAAATTTGTAGAGATTTGTATTTCTAGATTTACATTTAATAAGAGAGATTTGGGTCTCTCTGAGTGTTGTCCTTGCTGCATGAACCTTTACTGTGCAGTATTCTCAGTGGGTGTGTTACTGAAGTTTGAGTTTTAGCAACTTGGGAAGGGTGGGAATGCCTCTGACTAATGGTAATATTGTGCACCAAGGCAGAATTTATCAGATGCATCCAGGGAATTAAATGACCAGTAGGATTTCACATCCCATCTGAATCTAGCAGTCAAGGTGGTCCTGATTTTTATGAAAAGGCAGCTTGTTTCATAGCTAAGGTTTATGATGCAACATTGTTACAACTATCTCACTGAAAACATGGTGGTATCAAAAAACCACTTACTATTAAATCTTAAATATTCTAGCAGTTAGTGTAACTTCTATTACCTTAGTTGAATAGATTACTGAGGAATGGCTTTCCCTGGCTTTTTTTTTCTTTTTAAAATTTTTGTCCGACCAAGAGGAATTCTCCAGCTTGATTTTCAGACTTGTTGTGTTTTCCAAATACATGTTAATATTATGCAGAAGAGGATGATACTTTTTTGTTGTTGTTGTTAGTGTTAATTGTATTCCTTACTGTATCTGATTTTCAGTAGAAATAATGTGTTAATTTCATATCAGTGTTACTGTATCAGTGTGCTGTGAAGGCTCAGTGTTAATGAATGCTGTTGTGCAGCATACAGAGGAAGACAGTACTAGCAATAAACTGACCCTTTATGTTGGAATTCCTCCTGGGATATGCACTTGCCATCTGATTTTAGTAGTATCTTCAAAGGTTAATATTTCCACTAAAAGCTATTAGTGATTTACAATTTATTCTTGGTGAATGATTAACAAAAATGTAGTTAATATTTCAGAAAGAAGGTAAGCATAAATGTTTAACTACTAAGTTTTCAGGATAGAACTGAAAAGTCAGTGAGATGGACAGTTTGTCCTCTAAGGGGTCTTAAGAGTTGTGCAGTTTTTAACTTCTCTACTGAAAAGCTTCATAACAATCCAGGCTTCTGTCAATGACTTGTGTTAATTCATATGTATTTAATAAGAAAATAATGAGTACCTGAAGGATTTTAGTGGCTGTTCTATATTCAGGTGGTACTTCAGAAAGTCACTCTGGATCTTGTAGCATTGAAGTCCTGCTGAGAAAGTGCAGAATTGCCCCACAGTTGCTGAAAGGAGAACATAAACAAACATCTGTTGATAAGGTTGTGTGGTGTTCTGATGAAAACAAACAGTGTCCGTTTGAATTTTGCTGATCCGGATGAAAGTCCAGCTGTCAAACACAATTGGCTTTTGAAAAATTGTCAAGGGTTGCCTCTCAGAGCAATTTCAGAGCACACCTTTAGTTAACTCAAAATTAATTTGTCTGTGAGCAATAAGAAAGGCTTGTTCATGTTTATGTTCACTGCATTAACAGGTCAGGCTGACTTTAGTTTGCAGTTTTATGATGTTCTGTAACTGACCAGAGTAAAACTAGTAAAATGTATATTCTTTCAACTTCTAAATCACAGAAGGTTCTGCTCATCTTTTTGGTTGCACTTGAATTCTTTATGCCTTGATAGGCTTGTTTGTAAAGGTGATGAATGTCCCTCTGCTGATGGCTTGTGACATCTGTTACTGTGACAATAACTGATCACTTTGTTTACAATTTGATTACAAATTAGTCACATTGTTAAAAAGAATTTAGTTTTGCATTCATGACTTTCTCAGCCATTATTGTGACTTGCTAAATCTAGGACTCTGATCTAAACTTGATAAGTATTTCAAAACTTGGAATCATTTCTCAAGATTTACTAACTAACAACAATCAAGAAGTCTGGTTGATATTAAAATAACACTGCCAGAATTTTGGGGGGTATTACAAAGGTGGGAGCTGTTGAGATAGATGCTGTACAGTGCATTCCTATGGCAGAATGCTGCTTAAATTGCCTTGTCTGTTGGTGAGTGGGCTGGCTTTCCAAATGCTCAGGAAAACAGAAAAGTTGAGTTGGTTGTTTGCAAGGCAGCACAATTTGTCTGAGAGCTGCTCCTGAGCTCATGGGAGTTAGATGTGTGTTTGTACCCAAATTCAGAAGTATTCTTGATGAGATACTCAGTGGGAAGTGAAACTTAAAATATCATTGCCCAGTTGGTTGCTTGTTCTGCACAACATTCTTGAGCAATGTTCTTCATGCTTTTGACATCTCTGTGCCAAGGAAATGATTGGCACTAGGTCTTGGTGTCCAGCGTTGTCTGCATTGAGCTTCACTTCTCAGTTGTGTGGCCAGCATTGTAATTTAGAAACCACATGAATATTGCATTAAAAATGTGAAATAATTAGTAAATATTGTCTTTAAGATACCTGAGATGTTTTAAAGGGAGTTTCTTTATAGTTGTTTAAGTTTTTAAAACCATAATTGGATTTTAAAATATGACAATTTCTGGTTTAAAATCTTGGTTTTTTGTTTCCTTGTGTAGCTATGTAGGAAACCTCTCCAGAGATGTGACTGAGGTTCTCATACTTCAGTTATTCAGCCAGATTGGACCATGCAAAAGCTGTAAAATGATAACAGAGGTAAGGCCTTCCACATCTGGGGGGTAGCAAATGTAATGTAACTTTATCCTAAGTTGTCCAAAACAAATGAAGTTGAGGGCTTCTTTTGACATTCCTGGCCGTGGGTTTCTTTGGGTTGATTGTGTTTGGCTCTGGGGATAACTCTTTGCAGGAGAGACCTGGTCTGTGCAATCCTGTGCTTTTGCCTGTAGCCCTGACATACCTTTTATCAGCTGCTGGTGAGATTCCACTTTATTTAAAAGATTGTTACCCCCTCTTTGCAGAATCACTTTGTTCTGATGATCAGAAACCTTATTATTTCAAGTGTTATTCATGACTATTTTGTACATTGTTCACTTTATTTGAACATGAGCCTCAGTAATTCTTGTCCCTCTTGAATAAATGGTTCTTTGCTATTGGTAAAAAGTAAGAAATCCTCCAAAATAAGTTTGACTCTTCCTCAACTTTTTCTTCACTAGTTCAAATACCTCTTGTCTGCACCAGTACAAATAATTCTTGTCTGCCCCTCTCTGTTCTTAAATTAATTTTTCCTTGAAACAAAGTGACAAAATTTCCATAGTATTGCAGATAAAGTCTTTTGCACAGAGTGTTGGTAAGTATTAATGTTTTCTTATCTCCATTGTAAATACTCTGGTACCTTTATGGTTGGCAGCTATTTCTTTGAGCTTTTTGACACATCCTACAAAATTTCTCTCTCCCTGGTATTTTTTCTTCCTTTTACATTTGTAACTGGTAAACTTTGAGCAGGCAGGAACTAATCTGAGCTTCAGCCAGGTTTAAGCTTTGCTCCTTCATCTCTGGTTTCTGTATACTCTTCATACTTTTTACTACATCTTATGCTTTTTACTAACTTGTAATTACAGATTTCTTGAGGACAGTTAAATTAGTTTTCTGTCAAGATTGTTAATGAAAGTATTAAAAGGCAAGTCTTGTGATCAGACTTCTTTAGGAATGCTACCAGAAACTCCCCTGTGGGCTTCTTCTCCGTTCAATATGTCACACAGCTTGTTTGTTTCTTTGTTTTTAGCTAATCATCAACTTGCTGCTTGTTTAATCACTCTCATCTTTGTCTGGACTAATAGTTTCCCATGTGACACTTTCCTCTGCTGGATTTGCTTTAAGTTTATTGGAGAAAAATAACAGAAGGCTGACAGATCACAGTTGTTAGTTCTTCTCTGAAGAAACAGTTTTGATTGTCATGTGCTTTACAGACATAAGGCGCTGCTGCTCCCACCTTTGGCTGGGTGAGAGCTGTTAGCAGCAGTTTGGTTTCTTGAGGATCAGATGAGAAATTCCAACGTTTTTATCTTGGTTGAGGCTTTGTGGTTTTAAGATCATTCCATAAGTGAGACATCTTCATGAGACAAGTAGATAAACAAAAACTGCTGGCAGCTGTATTCAGTCACACAGGGGTGACTGCACTGGGCTGATCTCAGCAGCTGCCAATAAGCAGTCGCAGAAGTGCAGGTTGGATTCTGCACTGGCACCTGCAGCTGTCACAGGACCTGTCCATGGTGTCCATCATTCTACAGTGTGTGGTAAACCTGTCCTAGGGCCTGTGTCATGGTTAGGTGGTTCTTACCATTGTTAGTACCACCCTCACCTTTTAAAAACCTGTGATTTTTCCATTTTAGCCAGGTGTATCAAGTCATCCTTTTTCTTTTGTAGAGTATATGACATGAACACATCAAGTGTTGAAAAATTTCAGCTGTTTCTTTTGGGGGTATATAATACTCAGGCTGCTGGCACAGTATTTGTAGATGGCTTGAACACCTAAAGATCTGAGTGTCTGCACAAGAGATTCTTCTCATGTTCAGACAAGTTCTCAGTGCTAAAGAAGACCTCCCTGCAATCTAAAAGACTGTACTTCAGCTGAAGCATAAACTACACCAAATTTCCTAAAGAAGCCTTAAATGGGTTTCCCAAAGTTGTGTGGGAGGAGGGGTGAATTAAGGCTTTCTTTTTTGGGGCATCTGAGGTGAGTGTGTTTGTAGAGGACTTTGTGACTGAAACTTTTTTTTATGATCTCAGGTGTATTTTCTCTCATCTGTTCATTGTGCATCAGTTAGAGGCCCCAGGTAGTGACAGTGTTCAGGAGGATGACTTCAGACTCCAAGACCATTTTAGGTGTATAAAGGCCTTGTGATCCATTCAACTGTTGCATCTTCACAGCTTCACGAGTAGACAGAACTATGTTTAAGCTGTACAATCCATTGTTAGGGGGAAGGATTAGAATTGTTCATCAGTGTGTGTATGGGTTGTGAGAAGTTAAATAGGAGTGCTGGAAAAGGCTTCTCTTAGTTTGTGTTACAGCTGTGTTCTACCTGCACATGGGGGGAGGTTGATAGTGAGAATACTGATGCCAGAACAGTTCCTCTCTGCTAGACCCTTCCCTTTCCATGTGAGAAATAACTTGGTTAGGGTAATATTAGTATTTATCATCTTTTGGTCCATGCACGTGCTGAATAGTTAATGGAAATGTTTTGGTTAGAGTTTTTGTACTCATTACATCTTGGAGGTAGATCAAATCCAGTGTTCAAGTTGGTTTTCTCGACATCCTTTCCACTTGATCAGCTTTTCAGAAAACTCTTCTGTTCTTTGCACTTTATACTCTGGTACAATTGTTACTTCAGTGACCTCTGTCAGTGAGTATTTTTAAAGGTGATTTGATAGGCCATCCTGCAAAAACAGGTTGTACTCAAGGTTTAACAAGCTAACAGTCAATTGATTAATATCCTTTTCTCTCAGTCAGACTATTCTGAGTTCTTTTAAAAGGTTATTTTCCAGTCATTTGGCATTTTTCACTTGAGACTGACACTGTGCAGGTTCCAGGTTGCTGCCTGCTGGTGGTTTTCAGTCAAAAAAAGGAAAGATTTCTTAAGTAGGGCAAGAGAAAATTGGTGAAAATATGTCTGGGGAATAAACCTTTCTAGCTTTGAGTATATGTGTGAGGCAGTTTTTTCTTCTCTCCATTCTTTCCCTTTCCCCCCCCCATTCCATCCAGTTTGCAGGTCACTTTTCTGATCAGTTATTTATAGCTCGGTAAACTTCAGTCCTCATTCAAGCAAGCTATCCTTCAGAAACTGCTAGACCTTTAATAAAAAATCCATCTTAAGAATTCTTGCATTTAAGTGTAATGTCAAAGGCTATTTCATAAATCTGATGCAAATCATTCTGAACCTTTCTAGCTGTAAGTAATATATTTTCCTGGATTTTCTTCTCAGCAACCCGATAGCAGAAGGGTCAACTCTTCTGTTGGATTTTCTGTTTTGCAGCATACAAGCAATGACCCTTATTGCTTTGTGGAATTTTATGAACACAGAGATGCAGCTGCTGCATTAGCTGCTATGAATGGGAGAAAAATTTTGGGAAAGGTAAGTTGCTCACATGGTAATCTTAGATTTAAAGAATATAGATTTGTGTGAAAATATTAATAAAACCATTGAAGATGTTTTACCAAGATTAAATATTGATAATATAATCTTTTAAAAGTATTGATATAAAAAAGTAAGTCTTGTTTAGGAAATGTATTATTTGTGATCTTCTGTTTATGATGGTGTTTTATATTAAATGTTGATTAGTAAATGTTGAGAGTTGTAACCCACCCTTGAATGAACTTATAAAATGTAAGAATTTTTTGAATTTATACTAAATTTTATACTTGTTTTCAGGAGGTCAAAGTAAACTGGGCAACAACACCAAGTAGCCAGAAAAAAGATACATCCAGTAAGTAATGTAATGCCACAGTATCACTTCTGCACAAATACTTCACAAAGTGGTAATAATTTATTGTAAATGCATTTAAACATAACTTCTCTCCTTCCCATCTAGTGTTTAATAGAATTTTGCAAACTAATTCTTCTGTTTCTGCTTTACAACTGGGGAAACCGGAGTGGACAGATTAAATTGCTGCTGCTCTTCACATGGAATCCTGAGCGTTCCTGGTTCCCAGAGCTGTGTGCAGAGCATCACTTTCTCAGGAGCTGAAACTTTAGATAGCAGTTAAATATTTGATTCATAAATTATTTATTTGCAGATCACTTCCATGTGTTCGTTGGGGATTTAAGTCCAGAAATAACAACAGAAGACATCAAGTCAGCATTTGCTCCTTTTGGTAAAATATCGTAAGTATCATTATAAACATTTCCATTATCAGTCAGAAAATGTGATAGTGAAAATGTGTTTCTAAGTTGAAATGTTATTTCTTATCTATTGAGATAATTTTTTTGCTGTTCATTTCCTTGTGGTGGGTGGGTGGGTGGGTAGAAAAGAGGGGTTGTATCTCAGTGTGTTTCACATTGTAAATACAGTAATGTAATTGTGCTCTGGTTTGCTGAAAGCAATGTGCTTTTAACCTAATTTATATGCTAATGTCCTTCAACCTTTTATTAAAATTTAATTACTGCTCTAAGTGTGATTTTTTTGGTGTTGAGAATGTGTACAGAGTAGTGACTTGACAACTGGTATATATTGTATCCTGGGTGTGTTTTCTGTGCATTTTTGCTGCGTTTCATAGGCAGTTTGGAAAACTGGGCAATTGAAATATAATTCTATAAAGCAGCTAGTTAATAACTTGGGAATGTTTTGAAAAAGCTAATACTTGTGAGAATGAAATCTGGTTTTTTTGGATGATAATGGGATGAATTACAATTATAATATCTTAAATGAAAGAATGGTGGCTTTACAATATGTGCACATTTCTGCCAGTTCAGAGAATGTTTCTTTAAACTTCTCTTGGACCATTCAGGTGATACTGCATCACCTGATGTTCTAATTGAGCATATTTAACATTACAAAATCTTTGAGAGTGCTAAAGTATATATGTCCTAAAGAGTACTGCTACAAAAAAGTCTGTTAATCTTTTATCCGTTTATCTTTATAAAAATCAAAGTTGCACATGAACGTTTTTGTACTACTTTACAGGAATATATTTCTAAGAACAAAATTCTTATTTTTCTCTTGTTCTGTACGCATATTTTTAAATGAATCATAAATCTTATTTCTTACCTCTGCTGTTTTGTTTACTTTGCTTTTTGTCTCTTAATGTGGTAAGTAGTACTGTTTTAAAAATCAATTTAAAAAGAATAATTCAGGTTTCTGTTTCTCAATCTATATTTATACCTGAGACCTGCAGTTTTTCTAAAGTCCAAGTCACAATTAAAAGTAATAGCATTCTGGTTATTTTGCAGAATTGCTCATAAGAATGGACAGGATCTTGAAGGCTAACTGCAAGGAACTGTGCACACTGGAACTCAGTTGTAGATTTTTTCTCATTTCTATTTATTCTTATTATACATTATTTATATATACATATTTTAGTATTTACATTTTAACATTCTATATTCAGTGCAGTTCTATATTTCCAATCATTTTAACTTACTCACTAAAATTTCTGTGTAAATTTGTTGTTTTCGTACTGGTGTGCTTAGCATTGTTGTTAGTTTTATTCTCCTTTCTTAAATTTCTGAAAATGTCAATTTTTCAAAATTTACAGCTACCCAAACTCCAAAATGATGGTAGAGAATTGACCAAGAAAAATAAAGAAATCTGTTAACAGGCCATGTATGCCTTTTAATTCCTATTTTTTCCTCTTTTTCGATTTTTTTAATATTTCATATATTTTGTATCACTAGGCAGAAGACATTTAACTATTTAGAAAATGCATGGTAAATTAGATAGAATTGTTACAGTAATTTATAGAACAGTAAACCTTAGAGGACCCTAGCCGATAGAATATTAGAAAAGGAAACTTTGTTTCTCTTATACTTCAAATTTGAACATTCTAGTTATAGCCAGTATAGGTTATGTGCATAGGTTGCATGTTTATTACATGTTATTTTTTTTGTCCTACTGCTTTTTTCTAACAGGTAAAGAAGCAATAGGGAGAGTTCAGGAATGACTGTAGTTTTAGGGCTAACTGAATTTATAAGAAAAAATTATGCTCACAATACAGTGTGTGTGGTTCCTTTTAGTTTTTATTTTGCAGGTTATCAATACTACCCTCATATAGCTGTGCTTCTTTTCACAGGGATGCACGGGTAGTTAAAGATATGGCAACTGGAAAGTCAAAAGGCTATGGTTTTGTATCTTTTTATAACAAACTGGTGAGTAATCACAATGCAGTTTTAAAATAGTTCCTGTTTTCCATTTTTAGTTTTGCCTGTTTATGTATTCGCTGTTTATTAGACTTCACCCAGGGAAACAAACTTACATGTACAGGAGCTGTATGTATGTTTAGGACAACGTGAGGAAACTGAATCATTTTCCTTAAATATTTTGCAGAGGAAAAAACTCACAGTTTCAGGATTTTAGGCACATAAAGCCTGTTTGTGTGGTCAGAAGTCCTACATGTCAGTTCTCTTTTGATGTTCTGTAACAGTTACCTGGAGATGTCGTAATCAGAGAAAAAGTTGTAATTTCTTCAGATTTGCTAATGCCATAAGCTACTGCAAGTGAATGCCTTGATTTAGTGTGTTTTTTTCCAGTTGTGCTTTCTTTGTTCTGTTTTACAGCTGTAAAAGCAAGAAATAGCTGCTATTTCCATGTACCCCTCTTCCCTTATCATACAGTTGTTTGGTTCCTGTGACCAGGGGGAACTGTAACAGTCTTGGAATTAAAGTTACTGGATTCTTCTTAGACTGAGCCATAAAAACTCCAATTTGAAATTTGTATTACGAAATTAATGGAGGAATTCTAAACACAGTACTAAAAGTACTCTTAAATTTCATGTCCTGATTGCTGTTCATTCCCACAGCAGCTGCATCTGTAGGGTTATGGTGTGACAGTCCTGAGCTGGTACTTTAAGGCCTGTTTTTCACAATGTGTAATTCTGCTAGATTCAGGGAAGTGGGATATGCTCCCAGACTTCAGGTACTACAGCCTGAGATCTTAGTGCATAACACAGTTAAGAGAAAATGGAACTCCTGCATTGGACTGGATCAGTTATGGCTTGGGCTCTGTTCCATTTTTGTCTCAGTTGTGATCCTTAAGCAGGATAGCAGCAAGATACATCACAGAGTGTTTCCTTTCCTACTTAGTTCATTATGTATTCACCGTGTTTTAGGAGCCAAGGGTGCTTGAATCAATTGGGGTGTTTCATTGTCTGGAGGTTTGGTTTTATCATTGGGATTGAGTTTTTGTTTTCTTACTGGTCATCTTTTGTAATTCCATTTTCGTATTTATGTGTTTTCAAAATGAGTACTCAATATAATTAAAACCTAGAAAGATCAAGGTCCTGAGTTGGAGAAGAAAATTCTAACTGTGAGCAGCTCACCTTTAACTTGTCCACATTTTCTTTGTCCCTTGTGCATGACAGTTTTTTCCTTAAGCTTTGTGCCCTTGGAGAAGCATTTCAAATGTGCACTATTGGCTCTGCCTGTCTTCTTCCAAAGCAATTGGGAGACAAATTCCTTCTTGCAGCTGTTAGCAAACTCACCCTTGCTTACCAGATGTTTCTGCATACACTGTGAACTTAAAGATTGTCTTCAGTTTCATGTTCAAGATAAAAAGTGGGCCATGGGTTCTCATGTGTGTTCATACAATGACTTTAACATGTAAGAACTTACAAAGCATTGGCTGCACACCTCCAGGAAACAAAAGAAACACTTAGTGATAGTTGTTTTATTTCAGTGATTGGTTCTGACATCTGTGTGACTTTCCCACTTTTTTGGGCAGCTTTTGAGCATTCTAATGCAGATGCTTGTATGGTATATATGTTATAAATGTGTGTGTGTGTACATGTATGTATACAGGTAACATATATATGATTGCAGTTGGTTTCTATCCTGTGGAGAAAATGGGTGGGAGGAATTTTTTACCAAATGACTTCTGAGGACCTTCTCTGTAGCCAGTTGCTTTCATGTTAATTAATGTTTGTCTGCTTACTATGATTGTTCAGGATTTCGTACCCTTCTGAGTACTGTTACTGGTTTTGTCAGTGGAATTAACTGACGACCAAGTCTTGGGAGTAGATTTGTACATGGTTTTTGTTTGGAAGTGCTACAATCTCTGTTTTAATCTCTTCAGGATGCAGAAAATGCTATTGTACACATGGGAGGCCAGTGGTTGGGAGGCCGCCAGATCAGAACTAACTGGGCAACAAGGAAACCACCAGCCCCCAAAAGTACACAAGAAAGTAAGAGCTTCATGTCATGATGTGTTGTGTTTGCTGTCTTTTCACTGTTCAGTGGGGGAATAAAACATAAGCCAAAATCATGTCACTTAAATCACATATTAGCTTGCCTTCCAGATCTTGATTAGATTTTGTTTTGGTATGTTGTATCAACACAGTCATAAAATATTTTATATTTGTTAATAATGTGTTTGTTAAATGTGAAATTCATGCTTGTGTACGAGGTAAGTGTCTAGGTTACTGTCAGCCCACTGCTGAAAACCAGCCTTCTCTCTTTATAGATAATACAAAACAGTTGAGATTTGAAGATGTAGTAAATCAGTCAAGTCCAAAAAATTGTACTGTGTACTGTGGAGGAATTGCCTCGGGGCTAACAGGTATGAAGTGTTCTCTTATTTTTTATTATTGAAACTTTTTGGACACCGGGATGGTTACTAATTCAAAAACATCTTATGTTGTAGATCAGCTTATGAGACAGACTTTTTCACCGTTTGGACAGATTATGGAAATAAGGGTGTTTCCAGAAAAAGGTTACTCATTTGTCAGGTATGGACAGAGAAAGCAAGAACTCTGGGCCTGTGCATGTAGTAACACTTCATTTCTCTGTAATTTCACTTGATTGAACTTGTCCTGATACAATAAAAGCTGTCACCATATATTCATAGAATAATTTGGAACTTGTAAAAAGGGCCACCAACATTTTTACCTGAGAAGATGAATGTTTGTGAAAGCAGATGTTTTTCTCTGGATTTCCTGTATGTATGGAGTCACTGTTTTTTAAGTAATCAGGTGGAAGTGCTGTAAAACATAACATTGGTTTGTTTTTACATTTTTTAGGTTTTCAACCCATGAAAGTGCAGCACATGCTATTGTTTCAGTTAATGGAACCACAATTGAAGGACATGTCGTTAAATGTTATTGGGGTAAAGAATCCCCTGATATGACTAAAAACTTCCAACAGGTAACTGTACTTAACCTTTTCTTTGTATTACAAAAGCAATTGTGTTTATACCTGTAATGACTTCCCAGTTGTAATGGCTAAATTTTGTGGTGGAGTTCTTATGAAATTCCATGTTCTGTCTCAGTTATGTTCCAGTTCATCAAATTGGGCTAGTGATTTTGATGGAATATCTGTTACTGTCTTCTGGATATGATCCAAGATAGGGAGAAACTTTGAGGTAATTTTAATTCTTGCTGTTTTGCTAACTGCAGATTAGGTGGCTGTCCAACCAAATAGTCTTTGGGGTTTCAAGCACACACAAATAAATTTTTCAGTACAAGGATCTAATTAAGTCATAGTGACATCTTATTTTTCAGATCTCATTATTGCTTGTTTTAGCTCTCTGAGTGATATAGCCAAAACTTTGCCTTCAGCAGCACAAATGCAATGTAAACCATCTCTAGAATCTGAAGTACAATGGATTGTTCTTTCTGCAGGTGGATTACAGTCAGTGGGGACAATGGAGCCAAGTATATGGAAATCCACAACAGTATGGGCAATATATGGCTAATGGGTGGCAAGTACCATCATATGGAATGTATGGCCAAGCATGGAATCAACAGGGTTTTGGAGTAGAGTGAGTAATTATATTTAATTTTTTTAGAATATTCCAAGAGTGCTGTAGCTTAAGTTTCAGGCTCATTTGGGTCAAAGACTGTACAAGGTTTCAAACTTTAGGGGGGAACTCCTGTGTGCTTATAAAGTTTATGTTCAGTGCTTGCCATGAGCAGATACTGGGGTGAGTCACTCAGACTTGCAGCTGATGGCACATTCATGTGTGATGGAGGCACAAAGACCACCCAGTGTGGAAAAGTTTTGCGTGGTGGTCTTGTCTCATATCTAAATCTGTTCTGGATTCTGACTTGAGATGGTGAGTCTGAGCCAGGAGCCCAGACATTTGCCTACAGGGAGAGAAGGAACACAGACACTTTAACTTATGTAGTTCCAGAATTTGGGTGGGCTTTTAATAATGGATCTCTTGAAGACTGAAGTCTTCAAATGAACTGTTTGTTTTAACATAATTTTGAAATAACTTGTTTGCCTAGTTCTTCATTATCTGGTGCCAGTTAAACATATTAAGCCCTGATAGGGCTATCACTGGTGTTCATGCCCATGAGGTATTGGGTATTTCTTGCATTTCTGCATCACTGATGTTGAGTTCCAGCCACCTGTGTGTGTTCATGCCTTGGGAGGCAGGTGCCATATCCAGCTGGTACCCAAGGTGTGTGGAGTTTTTTTCTCCTTTGTTCTTAAACAGCTCATGATATTTTCAGGAATCACATGTTGTAGAGCTTAACCTGATTTACTCATTAAAAAGAAGAAGAAATTGTTCTATTTTCATATCAGTAGTTGTGTAGGAAGTATGTATTTTTTGGTTGTTCTTTTTTTTTTTTTTTTAAGTTGCTTTTCCCCATTTTTTTAACCATCCTGTTTCTTTTTAAGCCAATCTCCATCTGCTGCCTGGATGGGTGGATTTGGTGCTCAACCTGCCCAGGGACAAGGTGCTCCTGTAATACCTAACCAAGCTGGATATGGTATGGCAAGCTACCAAACGCAGTGAGCTGGGACTCTGTTTAAAAGTGTGTATTTCATGATAGGCTGCAGTTTCCAGTGACATTCTGAAGACTGGAATGTAGACAATGAAAAAAAAAAAAAGAAAATATTTATTTTAAAAATGGAAATGTTTGGAACCTTTAGCACAGCTTTGCTTTGGTGAAGGACACAAATGTCTTCTAGTTCTGCCTTTTTAAGTTTTTGTTCATGATGGATATGAACATGTTTTTCTTTGTGTACAAAAATTAAAAATAAAGTCAATAAAGACAATTCTGACTACAAATTTTGATATAGTAGGAGAAATGGCTAATGAATTTGATCTTGAGGTTACCATTCCTTTTTTTTTTTTTTGTTTTGTCTTCAGTGTTTTATATCATTGTGCTTTTAAGAGAAATGACGTTGAAAAACAGGGAGTTCTTTTAGGTGAACACACATCCTGAAATAAACTGTGGACCAATCACTACAACCTGCGAGACAGTATTGAGTTTTCAAGAAACCTATGGACATAGCTCAAAGTATATGTAGGTCTTGGAATAATTTTTTAAAAAAATATTTAATTTTTCTACATGCTTACAGAAAACAGCTGATACAATGAATAGTTCAGTTTGAAATGAAAAACAGTACTGTCTTAGAAATTTCACATAACTTTTACTGTCCACATTCAGGCACACGTTGAAACTTTTCAAAGCTGGTTTGCTTGTTAAAACTCTAGTAGTTTACATTTAATTTTGAGAAGTAAAAGTGTTTTTACAAGTATGTTGTTTGTATTCAAATCAGACAGTCATACTTGGGCTTTTACATAAAGTTTGAAGGCTACACATTGTAAATATTTCATAATTACAGTGTTTCAAAAGCATGCTCAAACATAGAAGTAGCAATGTAATTATTCAAAGTAATACTTAATATACCCTACTGCTTTAAATGCAGTAGATTGACAAGAATGTGCAAGACTGACATTTCCAAAGTTGGCTATTATGTAAAGTTACATAAAGAACTATAACAAAGAGCCTTAATTTTAATTTCATAAATCTTTAATGCATCACCTTTTTGTCATTAGAAATACAAATTTTTTGCTTTACATTATTTGGTATGTAAATACCTTGGTTAACAACCTTGTAAACCTATTTCAAGGTTATTATAAGTTGTATAGTATCTTGAGTGTTTTGAAAAATCTTGATGTTTTTTAAGTCTAGAAATATTTTGCCCAAGAATTTTTTAACAAGATTGTTAAAAACATCTTATTTTAGAGAATATTCAATGTGCCATTTGGTAAATGGAGATGCAGTTGAAACAGTACACTGAGTTGTGACTTATTTTTAATTAAAGTTTTTGTCTTTATGGATGGTTTGCATGTGATGAACTTGTACAGAGGCTGGGTTGTTTGTGTACTGAGTGTGTAAATGGATAAATCATGAAGATGTTTAAATGGTATACTTGGGTTATTTCTGAATTATTTTATGGATACATTGATATAAACTGCCTCAATAAATTTGAAGTTGAAAATGAATGTAAGTTAGATATAAGTAATGTGTCCTCCCTGTGACAGCTAGAGGGTGCAAATGCCTCAGCTGTCATCTGGAATGCCGAGGCAGGCACGATTGGAAGGGAAAGAGTAGGATTTGCAGTGGTAGCTCAGTGAAGCAAACTTGCATTTTAAAAGAAACAGAAAATTTGGTTTTTAGAGATGGTAGTTCTAAGTGAGTGTCTGAGAAGCTGTGTATTTTCTCTTTTCTGTTTCTGACCATGCAAGTGTTGTGAGGTAGAGTAGTCTGTTTTGAAATGGAGATTTGCAGTTGTGTTAAACCCAGCCAGGTTGTGCAAATAACTACACTTGTTGCTGTAGCAAATCACATGAGGGTTTTCTTTCCTCCTCTTTTATTGACGTGTGAAGTAGTACCTTGACTTTTAGATCAGGTTGAGAGTGAGATGTACTGGAAGAGCAGTTTATTCAGTTGGCTCAGCTGCACCAGAGGTATTGTGACTCTGGGCATCTAATGCATGCAATAATGACTGAGGTTAGTGTGGAACCACGAGTGCTCGTGCTGGCAGAATTGGCCCTTTATCTCCTTTTCTCCTTTATGGTATATGTAGTGTCTTTCCACTCAAGATAGGAATCTTGCCTACAGGACTCTTGTTTTTCTATACATTTTGTACATATGTGTATATCTACGCGAGGATCGGCCTATACATTGTAGTTTGGAAAAACCTCACAAGTAACTCTGTTTTTGTTACACTCAGCCGGTTTAAAAAGTCACGAGTCAGCAGAGATATGAATTGTGAGTTCCTTTAGGATTTCTTAGACTTCACTTGAAATCTGGGATTTCTACATCCTTCTAGGTGTTTGCCATATGGCTGTTCCGGGTGCATGCTGGTGTGGAGGCAGTTTGTTCTTTAGGCGCTACTGAAGATTTAGATGATGCAAGTACATTGCCACATAAATGCCCATATAAATGGGTGTGAGATTAAGGCAGTGATCTTTCAGGTCTCAATGTGTAGATCACTTTAAATCTGATTATTTAATATGCCTGCTGTAGAGCTGGGCCATACCTGACCTGTATTTCAGGATGAAAGATAGGATATACCTTCTGATTTAAGTCTTTTGTCATTGATTTTTATACAGCTTTTCTGTAATGGTGATATTTCTTCGCAGACTGCTCAAGATGTGGGGGTCTCCAGTGTCCTTTAATGTTTCTCTAGCACTGCGAGGAGGAGTTGTAAATTAGATTGCTTTTTACTCAGTAGCATTCATAAATGCATCACTGACAATTTTTTGGCACCAAAGAGCCTCTTGCACCATACTGCTTTTATGAGTGACACTTACACTGTTGTAATTTCTCTAACTACAGAAATTGACCACTACCTAACCCTTACCACTAGAATTTGGATTTCAGAAACACTGATTTATTATGGCTTAAGTTGATGCGTGCAACCTAAACCAAGGTTGTAATCTGCATTCGCAGAAAATGTTCAATAAAAGTGGAACATGATAAAGGGCTTATCCTGTATTTGTCATCTGTCAAAGCATTGTCCCTCTTTGCTGTAAAACTGACAACAGGCAGACAAGGCTGAACTTGTAAACTATGCACTTGCAATCATGTAAAAGATGTTTTATTTAAAAAAATTTCCTACAAAATCATTTTGTATTTTGCGGAGTTGCAGTAGTAAGGCTGTAAATCTAAGGTTACCTGTAGCTTCTCATCAATCCTGCCTCCTTGTGTATATTTGCTAACAGTTTTTAGACATACCTGCAGAACCTTCTTCTTACTAAGATAACTTCATGAGAAGCGATTCACTGTACCAGAACCATTGCCTTCATTTCACTCAAAAAAGTCTCACAGTGAATAAGGCTTAGTTTTGCAGAAAAATAGTGATTTGTTTTTCTTGTGTTTGTACACAAGGAAGCAGACTTAAACTGTATGGACATGATTAGTGTCTGATACTTCTTAATTATCTGACTGTTTTTGAACAAGGGCACAAGTGTTTGTTTTAATCACGTGAAACTGTTTCCTGGTCAGCAATAAAAGATTTTGTTGCACTGTTCTTACATGGCAAGATACAGGCAATCTTTTGTTCAGTATACTTCCAAATAATGGATGGGGTTTGTGAAGAACTGCCTTATTCCAGCTTGAATTTTCATATATAGATATAATCTGGGATCTGGATTGCGGCTGTAAGAGCAAAAGGGAACTGCCTTATTCCAGCTTGAATTTTCGTTGCGGCTGTAAGAGCAAAAGTAAGTTCTCTTGAAAGTTGAGTGAGAATTCATTTATTCTGATCACATGTGGTGTCTGTCCCACATTGATAAATTTAAGGGTTTCACTATGTAATGAAATTTCTGTTCATAAAAGGCAACTGCAAGGCAGTAGCTTCTGGGAAGGTCTTTGTCGTGTTTCATTTCAGCTGACTTCTATGAATCCAGTTGATTGTTTTAAAAAAACCCTTAAAAGTTGTTGCGTTTCTCAGTATCACATGGATAAAATCCCATCCTGCTGTACCATAACTTCAAATCAAAGAAAATGCTGAAGTGTTTACCGAATGTTTTACTTGAAAAAGAAACAGGACTTCGTGTTGACAAGTGAACACTGATTGTGTTGTCCTTCTGAGGCTGTGTGCTGATGTAGATCATGGATGTGTGAATGACATGCTCTGCTCACTGACATTTCAAGGGTAATGACTCAGAACGTTAATTTGACATCAGTAATGATTATTTGAATACAAGTTATTCTTGCTTAAATACACAGCTCCCTATGCTTTGATTAAAGCTGATCTGAATCTTACTGGTTATTAAAGTATTCTTGATATGCTGTGGAAAGAAACATGGCTTTGCCTTCTATCTTAGTGTTGAAGCTGTCAATAAGACATCAGAGTTGCACAGACTGTTTTTTGTTTAGAAGAAAAACACTTAATGGAGTTGTCAGGGAATTCAGTATAAACTGACTTTTCTGTACTGATGGGTGATGGTGTTTGAATGTTTCCCTTCAGTATAAACTGACTTTTCTGTACTGATTGGTGATGGTGTTTGAATATTTCCCTTCTGAAACAGTGGCTCAGCTACCATTCCTTGCATGAACCTGGCTCTCACAGATCCCAGATTCTCAGCAGCTGTTTTTCCCAGCTGCTGGTGTGGAAGGGAGGAGAAGGAAGATGGTGAGAATAGGTGGTAGAGCCCAGTGTGCCTGGTGCAGCAGTGCCAAGGCAGACTGTCAGGCACGTTTAAGATCACAGCAGGTTTACACAGACACTGCAGCAGTACCCCGAGGGCTGGGACCATTCAGACACAAACTTGCTTTATCTGCTTGCTTAAAATAATGTGGCTTTAAAATTACAAAAGTAGAAACCACATAACCTCTTTGGTTCCTCACAAAATAGGTGCATATTAAACAGCCAACAGAACACTGAAGGTGACTAAACAAAGGAGGAAATTGCGTTAAGCATCTGACTTGTAGACTTTTTCTTAATGTAGACCTCTTAGCTTGGCATTCTATTGCGTGTCTATATTGACCTTTTTGTTTGTATAATTGAAGTAGTTTCAGATCTGCACAGCTGCTTGTTGAACATCTTCCCATGCTTGACAACTTCTGGAACAGGGATGAGAACTGAATAAGAATTGTAGGTCTACCACATGAAACATTGGATAATGCTCACATTTCTTGGATGGAAATTGACTTACTAGAGCCAACTCTGTAGAAGTGTAAATATCACAGGGGATGATGAAAAGCTGCTGTCCTCCATTTGAGTAGCTAGTTCTTTGACCTTAATAGATGGGGAAT